AACCTGTAGGTATGGTGCCGGTTGTTCCTCCCCAGGTGCATCACCTTGCACTTGTCTGTGTTGAAACCCATCCTATTCTCATCCGCCCACCCTTGTAACCTGTCTAGGTCAGATTGTAGCCTGTTGCTTCCTTCTAGTGTGCCCACGTTCCCCCACATCTTAGTGTCATCAGCAAATTTGAACAGGGTGCTTTTTACCCCCTCGTCCAAAACACTGATGAAGATGTTGAACAGTGCGGGCCCGAGGACCGAGCCCTGCGGGACCCCACTGCCCACGTCCTTCCAGGTTGAGAAGGACCCATCCAACTACCACCCTCTGGGTGCAGCCCTCCAGCCAGTTGGCGACCCATTTGACTGTGTGGGTGTCTATGCCACAGCCCCCCAGTTTCTTAATGAGAATGGGGTGAGAGACAGTGTCAAAAGCTAAAATCATTCTGTACAGAAAGAAAGTTGAACTGGATACACAGTGGTACAGCTCCTGCAGTATATTGAATTCAGGAGAGACGTACCATGCCAGGGGATTTGGGAAATATTTGTGCTTAGCCCAGGTCTGTATTGGGTGCACAGCCTCCCTTCAGAAGATTAACATAAAGGCAGACAAGTGGTGTCATAAACAGAAGCCTGCTTATTGTTGGAACCTGTTGGGAAATCAAATGAGATCTTATACAGAACCATGTTTCAGTGACCCAGAGTTCAAATAATGTGTATCAAATAAAGGTAGGTATTCCATTGCGTCCCACCCCATTTGATCTATTGGCAGATTATCTATATCCATACGTGGTGAATATAAAGAATCTCTCTTTTTAAGGGGCTAATTCTACTCTGGTTCAAGGGATGGATTTCAGAAAGAAAGCAAGTGAAGCATCCATCAGTTGAAGTCCAATGAAGGTCTCAAAGTATTGGTATTTTAATGGATAACAGGGTTGCTTTGGTCATGACCATTAACATGTCCAGTCTGGTAGGGCTGGAGTGGTGGTGTAGCTGTAGCGATTCAGGGAATATGAGCGAATCAAGGGATTTCTGGTGATATCATTTATTGGAGTAATTGTATAGCCGGGAGATACATTGGGCACCACTTGTCCTTCCACGGATCAGGGTGAGAAAGAGATATCTACAGTACTAACATAAATAGCGTAAGATCTAAAGGTCTCTGATTCAACCCTGGGTTTCAACAGGTGCTTTTTAAACCTGTGGAGATGTGTATGATTCCAGTCCTTGGAGATGTACCTGCTTCTTTCCTCGACCTGAAGAAGGGCACCTTGTGCCCAAAAACTTCTCTAACATCTCGTCCATCTATATTCTTGGTCCAATAAAAGATATTATCAAATAAGAAAGAAAACCCTTAATTTTCAACTGTCCAGTAGCTTTTTTGGGATAATCAGGGAAAAATGTCAGGCAATCCCAACCAAGCTAAAGCAGCCTTTCCTTTCTTTCTGTACACTGCCCACAAAGAATAATATCACAACACGGACTCTGCATGGCAGGAGCATGAGTGGTAGGAGTGGTTCCAGCAGTCCAAAATATCTTGCTCCTCATAAACCAAAGCCTGTAGTTTGGTGATCAGTCTTTTTGCAAACAGTTAATAAAGTGCCTTTTGGCATGCTTCTGCACAGAAATAACTGGGATGTGAGCTGGTAAATGGCATTTTTATAAAACTAGACAAAGGTCCCTGCTATGTGTATTCCCATCTTTATTATTGCTTCTCAGAACTATCTAAAATCTAGGAATGAGAGAGTAGCAGTTTGTGCACCTTTATTCCCAATGATGGTTTGAGTCCCTAGTTTGATTAACTTTGCATTGGATGCATCTCCTAAAGTAGCTCTGCTACTGCAATCCTACATTGAGGACCAGACAGGTATAAAATAAATATTTGGTGAAATGATAACTGTCCTCATAGACCCCAGAAGAAGTCAACAGATGGAATATATTCTATTGGCAAAGTCCAACAGTATAACATATACCAGTGACTTTATAGTTGGTCCCCAAGAATTTCCAAGCAAAAAAGGCATGTTTTTTCTAGTTCAGCTTTTTTGGTATGTTCAGTAAAATGTAGCTAGTTCCATATGAACCCCAACACTAAATGCTTCCTTGAGGTATTGGCTTTATATTCCAAATCTGCAAAGTCATATTGCACAACCCAGGAACCATATTCATGTAGCAGTACCCAACACTAGGACTCGCCATAGCTGATACCAAAATTTGGGGTGAGGTGAGCATGCTAGTAGGGAGGAAAAGACTGCAGCAAGACCTGGATAGGTTACAGGGGTGGGCTAGCAAAAACAGGATGCGCTTCAACACTGACAAGTGCAGGGTGCTGCACTTGGGCAGTAGTCACCAGCAGCACACTTATAAGTTGGGAAACTCCCTTCTTGAGAGCATGGAGGCAGAAAGGGATCTTGGAGTCATTATTGACTCCAAGATGAACATGGGCCGACAATGCGAGGTCATGGTTGGCAGGGCTAACCGGACCTTGTCGTGCATCCACAGGTGCATCTCTAGCAGGGCCAAGGAGGTGATCCTCCCCCTCTATGCAACACTGGTCAGGCCACAGCTGGAGTACTGTGTCCAGTTCTGTGCGCCCCACTTCAGGAGGGATGTGGACAACATTGAGAGGGTCCAGAGGAGGGCCACCCGCATGATCCGGGGACTACAGGGCAGACCCTACAATGAGAGACTGCGGGACCTGAACCTGTTCAGCCTTCACAAGAGAAGGCTGAGGGGGGACCTGGTGACAGTCTATAAACTCACTAGGGGGGACCAGAAGGGTTTGGGAGAGACCTTGTTTCCCCTAGCACCCCCTGGCATAACAAGGAATAACGGCCGCAAGTTGTTGGAGAGGAGGTTTAGATTAGACATCTGTAAGAACTACTTCACTGTCAGGGCGGCTAGGAGCTGGAACCAACTTCCAAGGGAAGTGGTGCTGGCTCCTACCCTGGGGGGTCTTTAAAAGGAGGCTTGATGCCTACCTGGCTGGGATCATTTGAGCCCAGTTTTTCTCCTGCCCAGGCGCGGGGTTGGACTTGAAGATCTACAAGGTCCCTTCCGACCCGACTTCTATGATTCTATGATACTCTCCGCAACTTTTGGGTCCTTTTTTATCTGAAGCCTTCTCTAACAAGACCCGGTATTTTGAAGCCTGCCTATCCGCGCTAAAAAATATAACTGTTTTGACATAGCATTTCCTAAGTAAATTTTAAAAACTCCACCAGCTCTTAGGAACCCCAGCCATCTATCTCCATGCAAAGTAACCATGGTTCTGGTGTTGGTCTGTCTGCTAGGTGGACATCAGTTCAGTACATTCTGCATACTGGTCTTCTAGTTTTAGCTAATGCCATTTCCTTTCTTTCTTGAAAAAAAAAAATATTTTGTGTGCTTTAACCCCCTGGGAAAGATAGAGAAAATATTTAGACGTACCGTACAGAGTTTCAGATAGCCATGTTTAAAGGAAGGTTCTACTTTCCACAGATGCCTGGATCTGTGGACCTTGCTGCAGTGAGTGGGGAAACTTAATCTGTGCTTGCCTTAAAAACTTCCTGCCTTGGAGTAATGAGGTCCACAGATCCACCTCACTCAAGAGACAGGCCAGTTCTCCAAAACAGAGATGGAGACTGACATCCAAGGGTTTGGGTTTCTTGTTGGGTGGAATTTACCATGCTGTGTAGTAGCAGAAATTGCTTTGCCTTGAGGTTTATTTAGCACATCTTGTAAACTGGGGAGAATAGATTTTGAATTGTCCTAGTTGTGGAAGTTGTCAGAGTTAGGCACTCTGCCGCTCTTAGTGACTGATGGGTCAGGTTTTGCCCCAAGCTAGAAGCAGGTCAACAGTATGCTTTGCAACGGGTCTTCAGACCTTACTCCTCAAACAAAATATTGTTAAAGCAAGCACAGATTAATTTGACTTTAATCACCTCTTATTAATCAGCCTTGGGTTTTTATCAGTTTTGGTTTCCTAAAATCCATTAATACTATATTGTACTAACCAATCATTTTAAGCAACTAAAAACTAAGACCCCAGGTTTTTGTTTTTCCTCTTGATTTCTTTTATATATTGAGCTTTTTTTTTGTTTTTGTTTTTGTTAAACTGTTTAAGTACTTAAACTTAATGTTTGAAACCTTTTCTGTTTCACCCTTTTAAAAGCCATTACCCTCACGGTATTTTTTTTTTTCTTTTTTCCCAGGGTGACCAGATGCAGGTCATTCCAATCCCAAGTGTATGTATTTTTTATCCCTTTTATTTTAATAATTTTCATAATTTTCTTTGCTTTGGTTTATTTTATGTTGGAGTCGAATGGATTTATTTTATGTTGCATGTAATATGAAACTTATTTTTAATTTTCAAAGATGTATAATGCTATGAAATGATTTATCTTAACAGTGGACATGAAATATAGAGACAAAACTAATTACAAAGAAGACAGTCTAGATTCATGAAGTTCTCATTTCTGTCTGTCCTTTTGTTTTTAAGTTGTAGTTGAATTTTGAAAACTTAGAGTGCTCAAAAGCAAAAATCAAATTGAGGTTACTTAATTGTCAAAAATGCAGGAGGATTGAGATAAATTTCCCCTAGTTTCCACCTGTGAAGAAAGGCATTAATTTTCCTAGAACATCTGATTCAAGAGTATTACACAACTGTAGTAAGATCCTTGGTGTTGTAGTAAGATGATGCTTTTATTATAAACCATGGTTTTAAGTCTTAGTTTTTCTGTTCATCTAACAGGTTTAATTAGAATACAGGTTGTTAGCAGGGAATTCTTACATTTCAAAACCAAATAAAAACATTGTACATATTTTGAGCTAGAGATTTTACTTTTTTGGACTTGAGACTTTTTGTTCTGCTTAAGAATTATCAGGGTTCTTTCACTATGTGCTTTTTTAATGTTTGTTTTTAATTTGGAGGACTTTTCAGTACTGTGTGCATCATTACTGCTTCACCATTTACAATAGTTCATTGAGACTTAGTGCCATTGCAAAGCTCTCAAGACAGTGTCAATGCAGGTCTTAAAAGATGCTCATCCCTCTTTGATGGTATTTTGTATCTGTTTTAAAGGTCTGAAAACTGCCCCTTGGGTTCCCTATTTTTTCTTTTACATCAAAGTTTCTCAAGGCGCAACATTGCAACCAGTATCTTTTTTTTTAATTGCTGCTGCTGCTGGATGGTATCAGGTGATCAGTATTCAGCCATTTAAGCTTCCTCTTTCCATCACCACCTTTTCTTGGAGCTGAAAACTATTGGAAATTATACTAGCTCTAGGACCATTACTTTCCATACGGTAGTCCTGGACCAGCACCAAAAGAGCATTACACTGAAGGGCCAATGTTCACTTCTAAAATTTGGCATCTCCCAAATCATCAGGGCCAGAAGCAAACTGTATACATTATGGGGCACCTGGGAATATCCTCTTTCATTGGTATATTATGTTTGTGTCTAGATTTACTGTCCTCTCTTCTCATTCCTTCCAACTTTTTTAACCTGGTAGTTTTAAACATCAGCTCTGCAAAGAAAAACTAGGCCTAGAAACAAATGTTGTCATTGTCTTCCTATATGAAAAGCCATGGAACCCGAGCTTAAAATGAAAGACAGCTTTAAAATTTAAGAGATGAAAATACAATAACATGTAGGCACAAGGGTGCAGACATCAAAGTCAAAATATAACACTTGGCTATTATGTAATACACATGCCAAATATAAGCTTTTTAACAAACACATAATTACACTACTTTTCCAAAATGCTGGATTTAATAGAGACGTATTAAACAGAGCACTTTGAGTGAGTAGTCTAATACTCTTGGATTTGCCTGTTAAAAAATATTTCATAAATCCACAAAAATATTACGTAAGTCACAGCTATCTTATCAAATCTGGGGGATTTAGCAAAATGTAATGATCAAGTTTTGGTGCACATGTTGAATGATACTTGATGGATGGGGCTCAGTGAGTTGGGAACCTTGTTGGTCATGTGCATGGCCTAATGTCTCCTGCAGTGTATCTGCATGCTTCTCAGAAGAGAATGTCTTAATTGACTTTTGTGCTTCATTAATGAATGTACATTAATGAGTTCATCTTCACAATAGTCGAGTGAGGCAGGAAAGTGTCAGTTTGTGAATACGTCACTACGGCCTGAATTGTAATGTCCTCACACACAAGGGCAGGGATTAAGTTTCATAAGAAACCTTAATTTTTGAGGGTTCATATATATAACTTAGACCTCCACTGCCAGTATACCTATAAGTTAATCAGTCATATAAGTAATTCATATTTTCATTTTAGAAATCAGATTTTAATGAATTGGTTTTGATAGTTCAGTGACTATCTAGTAAGGCAAACTGTTTTTGTGGGTGGGTGGGTGGATGGTTGTTGTTTTTTTTTTTCCTCTTCTGAAGACCAGATTGGGTTATGTAGAACTTGCAGGCGCAGTGGAGTCCTGGGAAGCCTGGTATCAGGGCTAACAGTGGCAGGGAACCTGCAGTTCAGAATGGCCTTATTTCCTGGATTTCTTTCATTTTAATTCTTCTGAAGCAGGAGGGCTGGACTTTTTTTCTCTGTGGGCCAGATGAGTGAGGCAGGGCTAATCCATAGGCTGGATTTGAGCCCTGTGCACCAGGATCAAGCACTGGAGCCTAGCACTGCCCCTTCCCTCCCCTGAGCACTGCAGGGAAACTCTAGGGCCCCGCACTGCCCCCTCCAGCCCCCATGTGTCAGGACTGAGCCCTGAGGGCTTGGCACTGTCCCTGCCTCCCAGGTGTTGTGCCCTGGAGACCTGGCACTGCCCCTTCTGCCCCAGCATGCTGGGATTGGGCCCTGGGGGCATTGCCAGCCCCTCCCACAGGGTGTTATTCCCTAGGGGCCTGGCAGCACCCCAGTGCACAGGGATTGGGGCCTGGCACCACTGCCGCCTTGCCCTCCGTGCTGGGATGAGGCATTGAGCTCACAGAATCGTAGAAAATGAGGGTTGGGAGGGACCTCAGGAGGTCATCTAGTCCAGCCCCTGCTCAAAGCAGGATCGTCCCCAACTAGATCATCCCAGCCAAAGGTCCAGAAATTTGGTAAGGAGCTATGCCACCACTGTCCCACAGCCAAATTTCCAGATGCATGGGCAGCCCAGAGGGCCTGGCCTGTGGGCTATATCTCACCTATGGGCTGGAGATTGAGCACCCCTCTTCTAATGTATTACTTCCTAAATAATAAAACATAACCATAGCGATTTTTTTTTTTTTAATGAAAGCACTGACGAATCGGAAGTGCTGGCTGTATGGCTGCTATAGAAGTCAAAATATTGTATCTTTGCACCTAGAAAAAAATGTCCCTCCTCTTCATCCCTTGATGCCCCCCTTCCTCCCGAGAAAATAGTCAGGCTTGTTAATGTGTTTATTTGAATTGATTATCTACATTTGAACAGAAATTTGTTTTGCTGCCAGGCAAGTAAATACAGAGTTTAAATTGGAATTTTTTTACATCTTATTATTTGTTTTTGGGGGGGAACTGCTCAAAGAGAGACTGCTCACCATGCTGCCTCTGTGCATGACCAAGAAATAAAGTGCAGGGAACATGAAGAGGAAAGCAACACACGTTGCACTGTACAGCAGACAGGATGTGAAGTGTAGTGAAAGACCCCTTTAACCTTGATGTTTTCTGGGGGTTTAGAGTTTATTTTATATAGTGAATTCTTGAAGATTTGGTGTTTGCTAGTTGTTTATACTTCAAATAGAAAACAGGATTTCCTGCTTTCTGTAACAGAGAATGCAGTATTTCTTCACCTGACTTGAAACACGTGGGCAGTAGTTGCTTCTAGAAAACAATTACGCCAGCCAGCAATCGGGAAACCCGCACAGGATACCGAAGCCCTGACCACTGACTAGTTCAACAGTCTAAAAATCTACAGTACCCGCAGTAACCTGCATCTACAGTAAATGTGGATCTTTGGTAACACAACTGACTCATTTGAGTATTTATGTTTCTTCTCACTTAAAACGTCTGATCCACAGTTTCCGCATGGTGGTATCTGAGATATCATAATTGGTTTTTTCTACTCGGTTCTGGAGAAATAGCATAGTAGTTCAGATTCTGCTGTGTAGTGAGTGAATTGCTGTGTAATGTGCTCTATTTAATAAAATGTTTATGAAAATTTAGTTAAACTGGGAAAGAACATGAGATCTTAAAATATTTAATATCTCAATTTTATCTTCATTGAAGGATAACTTGGATAGAAATCTATTAATCATGAACCTTCCTGAATATTTCTCCTGCTCTCTTTTATTCAATCTATTATGAATGGATTTTAACTTTTGATAGTGCATAAATTAATTTTTTTTTCCTTTCTGATCCTTGATTGTAACTTTGCTACACTTAATGTGAAAATGACTCCTATTAAAAGATTTGGGCGTCTGCATAAATGAGTTACAGCTGCATATGAGTATCCTTTATATTCCTTAAATCACATCCTTACATTTTATTCCCAATCAAGAGATTGACTTCATGCAGAAATTGTGAAGCCTTATCTTTTTCATTCATGTTTCAACCCAGCCCTTTAGTGCTGGAAGAATAAAAAGTCTTCATGCACTCTCTCGCAACACAGAAATAGAATTCAATATGGAGAACAAATGAATTGAGAACCAGAGTACTTCCTTTATTTCTTCTAATCCCCAGACATGCAAATTATTGACAGAATTTAGTGTGTAGCTTTGGTCATTAAAGGCTTTTCGCTTTTAATGCATGATGAGATTTAAATCAAATATAGCTACAAGTCAGGTGGCTCTTCCACTGACTCATAATGAAGGCGGGTAAAATTTATGCTGTGATTTTTTTTTGTGGCTCTTGAAGATAAAGGAAAATACTGTGTAGAGGGAGTGTGTTGGACTGTAAGAACAATGAGAGTGCATAGTGAAGACAGGCTTGAACCCCTCATCAGAGACTGACTCTGGAGAACAAAGCTCCAAATTGGTGAGAAAGGGAGCCCAGTATTTGGTGTCCAGGAGGGGCTGGGCATTGGTCACAAGCTGTCTCTGGCAGGGCACAGAACCTGTCTTTGCCAGCTGTAAAATGAGAAAAGAAAACTTCTTCCCTGCTCTGCCTTGTCTGTTGAGATCAATGATTCTTAGCCTTTTTTAGTTTTGAGGCACTTTTTTCTGAATTCAGTACAAGCTGAGAACCACTGCTGTACTGCCTCAGGTTACTTCTGTGGTCCTTGACCCGGATGCTGTCGCTGCCACTGCC